GATTTGACACGTGCTTCAGAACGCGGTCACGCAGGGGCGTTCCCAAAGCGATCTCGATGCAGCATCTCGTTCCCTCAGTGAACCATGGTTACATACATAACCTAGAGACGTTTTCAGTCAGAACTCAGAACAGAACAGCTCCAGATATTTAGCATGCCAAATATTTTGGGGCGTCCGTGACGTGTCGGCGATTCCCTCAGATCACGCGATAATTTGATAATTCACACTGGGTGATTGTCACTCGCGTGAACCAGCACCGATTTGCCTCCGATGTCGGGCATTTGTCGGCGATTTCGCAAAACCTGTCGGCGAGTGAAAAATCGGGCTAATATCGTGCAGTGTGAACTCGGCATAACGCAGGGTAAGTTGTAACACACGTGGTTTAAACCAAATTTACAGCATTTACTAGTTACTATATCAACATTATATAGAGAAAAAAAGTGCACCAAAATTCAAAAGTCTTTTGAAGATATTCTATGACATTAGCGATGTAATTCACACTATTTACTTAAAAAAAAAAATTAATGATAAACGACGAGAAACAGGTGAATAAAGACTGACAGTCAACGTTTAATGTTACGAAATTATTATTTCAAGACATGTAAAGCATTTTAGCTCGTTTATGTGGGCCGTCTCAAGCATGGTGGCAATGTGTTCATTGTCAAACAACTCCAAAATCAGATTATTTTTAATTCTTAAAAAACGCCATTATTTTATTTGAAATAAATAATTATTTTATTTTATTGACAAAATATTTTAGTTTGTCTTGTATATTTTTTTCATTCGATCAGATAATATTTTAAGCTGTTATATGGTCATGTTACAACGTGCCCCTCAGATGTTTTCAATGTACCCCACCTACGGGGCATGTTGTCACATTTCACTTCCAATTTTTGAGGGTAAATAAAGAAAAACGTATGCACTATAATTATGAAACAAAGCGACATATTTGTACTAGACAAGTGTGAAATTACTGTGGATAAAAATATATACTCTGATGTGGATTTACACAATTTGAGAAAGTCAAAAAGTGTTACTTTGTGCCCCGCTCTCCCCTACGTCTGCTCAGACCCTGACGTGATGGTAAGTACTTTTCCATGTCAAAGACCGTTTTTATAAATATGAACGTTGCCGTGGGTTTTAGCGTATGCACTCTCTAAAATCAAATCTGTGCATACGCACATTTTATAAATGAGGCCCCAGCTCTTTTAATCCTGAAAAGCTATGATATAGTCTAACACTCATGAACATTAGTAGTGACATGTAAGCCTATTCTTAATTGTAAGGAGTAAGAACAAAATTGGCATTCTTAAAAGTTGACACTTAAATGGATAGTACATCAAAAAATAACAATTCTGTCATCATTTACTCACCCTCAAGTTCTTCCAAACCTATATGAGTTTCTTTCTTCTGCTGAGCACAAAAGAAGATATTTTGATATTTCCATCAATATTGAAAAAATGAAATACTGTGGAAGTCAGTGGGTAGAGAGTGTGGATGAAATATTTGTTTGTGGATTTTATTAAATTTTTTCACTTTTGTTACTTTCATTTAATCACCTGCTCAAAATGATTAAATCTATTTGAGTTTTACCTTATTTAACTCATCTTTTTGTTTTCAAGTTTGGATCACATGAATCATTATTAATTAGACTAAATGCTTTAGATGGTCATATCTTCATCTTTCACAACTTCCAGTCCTTGTCAGTTTGTGTATATTTTGAGTGAGAGTCTTGAGGATCTCTCATCCCTGAGTATAAAACATAAGCTACTGTGGTGGCTTCTTCCGTTGCTGTGAAGAATCTTTCTCAGAGTCTTGGAGTTTTGATGCCAGAAGAGATTTTATTTTCAGAGACAATAAAACCTGAGAGAACTCTGCAGAGCAATCTCCAGACTCTTTTTCTGTACTCTCTTATATACTGTTCGTTCTCTAGGTGTGTTTAATGGTTTCATTCATATTTGTTATGGGATCATCACGATGCAGTCATGAGGCCTTAATTTTATGTTCTGTGAAAATAAGGGCCCCATTATGTGCCATCATGTGCTTATCATGTACTTCACCATATGTCTGCACATTCCATTCTCATACAGATTTCTATACATGCAGGCAAATACACGATTATAATAGTAGAATAACTTAATACATAAATGGCCACATTCACACAGATTATACCTGAACAATTTACATTTTGATTCATTAAAATCTTCTACACTACTAAACATTTTTATTAAACTGTCGTAAAAGCAATATTGCACTAGTGCGGTTGGTCTGGAAGTAAATAGCCTGTGCTGGTTTTCGAGACATATTATATTTATTTTTTATTTTTTCATTTGTTTTGGTTATACATGCATTTCAAATCTTTAATTTTTTTCATAGATTAACAAGAAGACCTTTCAATTAAAGCATATGCTTGAATAAATGCAATGAAAGAAAAATATCTCTACAACTCTTGTGATGTTTCAAAGCAACTTTATTTGAACAATAACAATTGCATTATCAGAATCTCACTTATTTGAGTGACTGCGCAGATGATTGAGAGCTAATGCTTGAGGTAGAGACCTGCGCGGGACGGATTTTTCAGTATATATGCAGAAATATATCTTATCTGGTCTCGCTCCCGCCCGCGACATTCATGTTTTGTCCCGCTCCCGCCCGCAAAAGCCCGCATAAAAGTAATCTATATAGATTTTCATCACAATTAAAATAATCAAAGACTTAAACTACTTCAGTCTGTGTGCATTGAATTTATTTAATACACGAGTTTCACAATTTGAGTTGAATGACTGAAATAAATGAACTTTTCCACGACATTCTAATTTATTGAGATGCACCTGTACTTTACATTGTGTTTCATGGTGAGAGTCCAATCTTACCACAGGTTCTTCAGTTTACACTGAGGATCCTTGAGTACAGTAGAGAGAAAATTTACTCCAGAACTTCCTAGATTATTATTAAACAGAGTCAGTTGTCTCAGGTGTGAGGGGTTTGATCTCAGAGCTGAAGCCAGAGCAGCACAACTTTCATCTGTGAGACCACAATTCCTCAACCTGTAGAGAACAATGACATTCCTCATTCTCTGATATCCGTTAAGCAGTAAATCCATTATTGAAGAGAAAAATACAAACTTAAAGCACAAATCAACTTTTGATGGATCATCGGACTGAGATCTAAAACGCCACAGAGCATCAGGCTCGTTAAAGAAAGATAAATAAGATTATTGCACAATGTCAGTGGTTTAACAAAACATTTGAATAACTGATAAATCTAATTTATTCATATGCAACTGCTCTGACTTCAAAATCTTATGGTGTTATTTATTAGAAAACACATCAAAAGACTGACCACTAAACTCTGGATAGCATCTGCAGCACTGAGGCTATTTGAGCTTTTATTTTCTTTATGTTTTAACAGTGAAGTGATTGTTTTCAGTTATACTTACTGAACTGATCTGGATTCTTTAATCACAGGCAGCAGTTTCTGAAAAACTTCCAGTTTTTTGGTTTCATTGTTTCCTTCAACAAATTTATTAATGTCAAACTCATCCGGCATCTTCTCTGAGGTCAACAACACAAAAGCTACAGCTGACCACTGAGCTGAAGAGAGTTTGGCTTTATTTATTGATCCAGATCTCAGATACTGTTGTATTTCCTCCACTAGTGAATGATCACCCAGTTCATTCAGACAGTGGAACAGATTGATGGATTTCTCTGGAGAGTTAATGGTCCTGATCTTCATCTTGATGTACTCCACTGTTTCCTCATTGCTGTCAGAGCTGCTTCTTGTCCGTTTCATTAGTCCTTGTAGGAGAATCTGATGAGACTCCACTGACAGACCCAGAAGAAACCGCAGGAAAAGGTCCAGATGTCCATTTTTACTCTGTAGAGCCTCATTCACAGCTCTCGGATGTAGGTCTGATAAAGTATACTTAAAAAACATTGAGAGGTCAGAGGACAAACTAGAGAAAATTTGTGAGCAGTTCTTTATAAAAAAGAGGTGCACATATAGAGCCGCTAGATGTTCCTGAACAGTCAGATGAACAAAGCAGAAGACTTTCCCCTGATACAAGCCAAACTCCTCTCTGAAGATCTGAGTGCACAATCCTGAGTACACTGATGCTTCTGTCACATCAATGCCACACTCTCTCAGGTCTTCCTCATAGAAGATCAGGTTGCCTTTCACAAGCTGCTGAAAAGCCACTTTCCCCAGTTTGAGGATCATGTCTTCATCTGTCACGTTCTTCTCATAGTCCTTCTCATGTTTGATGTTGGTCTGAAGGATCAGGAAGTGTGTGTACATTTGAGTGAGAGTCTTGGGAATCTCTCCACTCTCTGCTTGACTCAACATCTTCTCGAGAACAGCGGCTGAGATCCAGCAGAACACTGGGATGTGGCACATGATGTAGAGGCTCCTTGATGACTTCAGGTGTGAGATGATTGTATTGGCCAGACTCTGATCACTGATTCTCTTCCTGAAGTATTCCTCCTTCTGTGGGTCATTGAAGCCTCGTACCTCTGTCACTCGATGGACACACTCAGAGGGGACGAGATCAGCTGCTGCTGGTCCGGAGGTGATCCAGATGAGAGCAGAGGGAAGCAGATTCCTCACAATGAGGTTCGTCAGCAGCACGTCCACTGAGGCTGATTCACTTACAATCACACAACCTCACATCGCTCTGAAAATCCAGAGACAGACGACACTCGTCCAGACCATCAAAGATGAACAACACTTTATATTCATCACTGGATGATATATATATATATATATGTTTCATTCGTCCAATTAAAAAAATTTAGGGTAGGACCTAATGATTCACATCTATATTTTTTAACTTGAGCCAATGAAAAATAAATAACTTGCCCTTAGGCAATGATATGCAAGGCTACAAGAAGTCTCAGTTAGCTTAGTGCAGTACACGCAGCAAGGTTTTTTTTTAATTACATAAATAAAAAGAAAACAGAATACAACAAGAATAGAGCAATAGTGTTAGAGGACTTTTTGCTTTTGTTAATTGTATAATAAATAAAAAGAAAACAAATAGATATAAAAGATTAGAGAAGATAATATAAAAAAAAGAAAGAAAAACAAGCAGTTAGTACATGAATAGAGTGCAAGTCTAAAAGGGGCAAGTTTGTTTTTTTTGTTTTTTATTCAAAGAAAATTAGAATAGAGAGTGCTAGAGTTATAGAGGGTCAAATAAAGATTGCCTAAATGGGACTTTGTAAAAAAAATTCTCATGAGCACACGAAAGTTTCTCGTGAGCATGCGAAAGTCTATGTATTTTTTATTTTTGCAAAGGTCCCTTTAGGGGCTCCGTTTTTTGCTCATCTTTTTGTTTTAATTGTTCTTCAAGTTTGGTTCACATGAATCCTCATTAAATAGACTAAATGCTTTAGATGATCATGTCTTCTTCTTTCACATATTCTGGTCCTGTGCTTGTGTGTCTCAATGATCAGGACATCAATTAAAGCATGCTCTTAATAAATTGCAAGAATACAAATACATAAATCTGACATTAGTAAAGCAATACTTCTACTCAAAATCAAAGAAAAACATCTCTACAAACCTTGTGATGTTTCAAAGCAACTTTATTTGAACAAATTAAAAACACAACTCTATTTGAACAATAACATAATATTTGCATTATCAGAATCTCATTTATTTGATCTACTGCGCAGATGATTGAGAGCTGATGTTTGAGGTTCCTCTCCATCATGTGTTTAGATGTGCTTGTTTAAGTGGCCTTTTTGTGTGAAACTCCTTCCACACTGCGGGCAGCTGAACGGTTTTTCATCATTATGAATCCTGTGGTGCTGCTTCAGATGGATAGCTGCTGTAAAGCTCTTGCCACACTCAAAACACATGTGATCCCGCACAGCATCATGGATCTTTAGGTGCTGTTTCAAAGAGTCCAACCGTGGAAAACTCTTTCCACACAAAGAGCATTTATGGGGCTTCTCATTCATATGAAGTGTCAGGTGTTTTTTTAGATTTGCTGATGAGGTAAAATTCTTCCCACACTGATCACACTTAAATGTTTTCTCTCCAGAGTGATGCCGCATATGATAACTGAGTCCTGATGACTGTATGAAGCTCTTCCCACACTGATGGCTCGTGTGCGGTTTCTCTCCAGTGTGAATTCTTTCATGTGTCACAAGGTGGCCTTTTCCTTTGAAACTCAGTCCACATTGAGAGCAGGTGAACGGTCTTTCTGTAGAGTGAGTTTTCTGATGCTTTCGCAGATATTCAGGTGTAATGAAGGTCTTTCCACACTCAACACACAGAAGAATGGATCTTCTGGTGTTTCTTGCAGTTGGCCAGCCGTGAAAAACTCTTTCCACACACTCGACACAAATGAGGCCTCTCTTGTACTTCCATCTAATCTAAAACAAACTGTATTCATAGTGAAACTTAACAAATCACGCTACTATGATTTTATAACTGAGGCTTTGCTACCTTAATGTTCCTTAGCATTCAATAACGAAGAATCAAAAAAGGACACCAACCTCTTTGCTCCTCAGTATCTTCATGTATCTCACTGCATGGATTTGAATAATTCATGTCCTCACTCTCCTCTTCAAATCGTTTCAGTAGTATTTCACACAAATTCAGATGTCACATACGGAGTTTGACAAACATATAGCCAGCATTTACTGGTGAAATACTGTGTGGCAAAGAGGCTAAAAGCACCAGACATGGCGAAATCAAAATATGTCAGAAATATAAAGTATTTATAAAGGTTATATATTTAGTAGCATTAAGGTTATTTGAATAAATGTGACTTCTAAATAACAATAATAATAATTATTATTATTAGATACACATTGCGTTCCAAAAAGTGTTAATATATAAATGTTGCAATTGAAACTGCATATAATTAGTAAACAGTTATAACGTTTAAAATCATTAGATAATAAAGATAAATGTAGATAATAATAAAAAAATCACAATCTAAGTGTAAACAGGTCAGTATAATGTTGTGCAGGAACACATTTCACTCTCCTGAACAGTAACGTTACTGACATTTATTTTTCCAATAAATGTACGAGACTCTTTAAAATCTACAGTTCTTATATATATATATATATATATATATATATATATATATACACATATATATATACACACACACACACACACACACACACACATACAAATTCAAATTTGCATAAGTTTGCATAGACTTATAATAAACTTTTGCAAAATGGAAATATGCACAGGACTTTAAATTCATAATATTTACAGAATATAGAGTAAAATATAAATTATGCACTGGCCCTGGGGAAAGCATCTCTCAAGGCGGTAGAAGATGAAAACATGATGCGATGACGGGACTAGATGTGATGCTGCGAAAGTCACCAGCCGAGCAGAAAATGTAGGCTACCTGCATTTGGTGTTTTCGTTTTCTAGAAATCGATCATCTTCCACGTGTGACTGTCTGCATGCGGCATCCGTCGGAAATCAGCCACAATTTCATTACAGCCTCTTCTGTTAATATTAACGAGCATTTTCAGCTTGAACCGGTCAAACTCTCAAGCACTGCATTTGTCTCTCGACCTGTGTTTGGGGCGTGGCTACATGTATCGCTCCGCCCACAACTACTCTCATTGGCTCGTACATGGATTGATGAGCAAATGAATCGTTTTATATCGTCAAAAATACACCATCATTTCGCAAATCGGAAGTCGCACTTGAGTCTCGATTTCATTACTTTAAAATAACGACGGACAGCTTTTCCTGAAATGTAGTGATGTAAAATATACCAGACTGTAGTTCACAAGAATGGCCACCAGGTGGAGCCAAAATTCACCTTTTCAAGATCCATCACAAAGTAAAGTATTTCACTATTCTTAGAATTTTTGTGGGTTGAGTTCAAATATTTTGATATTTAACAAAAACAGATTTTTGGCTGCCCGCGACCCTACAGATAATAAGCGTTTTGAAAAACTGATAGATGGATTGATAATAAATTGATATTGGGTGTTAACATGAACCACAGACACATAAAGGGTAGCGATGGTGTAGTAGTCGTTGAGGAATCTCTCTCTCTCTCTCTCTCTCTCTCTCTCTCTCTCTCTCTCTCTCTCT